TTTTTATAACCAGTTTGAACTCTTTGCCCAGCTCCTCATTCCTGAAGAGACTGTGGTGGCTTCCCAGGCACCAGAGAGGTGCAGCCAGTTCATTACTTGAAGGTTTTCAAGCAGGTGCTAAAACACCAGTGCTCATGCTTTGAACGTGCATGTTGTTGTCAAGTCAAATTCGAGAGAGCCTTGATGTTTAGAATTATTAATGTTACATCTTACTAGATAGTATACTCACCTTTTTCCAGTGTGAAACGATAATTCTTTTTTTTTTTTTTGGTACCAGGGATTGAACTCGGGTCCTTGTGCTTGCACAGCAGGCGACAAAACCACTGAGCTAAATCCCTGGCCCAGTTCTTTTTTTTTTTGTACCAGGGATCAAACCCAGGACTTTGCGCTTGTAAGGCAGGCATGGTGCCACTGAGCTGCATCCCTGGCCCGACTGAGGTGATAGTTCTTGTAGTGGAAAGGAGTTGTTTCTCTCTTTATAAAAGCAAAATGTCTTCATTATTTGCCAAAATATCCTTAGTTTTTCATGAACATTTTAAAACTTTATATACACAACTTCATTCATTCATTCGAGACAGGGTCTCACTATGTAGCCGCGCTGGCCTCAGACTCTGGGGACCCTTCTCCCAAGTGCTGGATTTTAGGTGTGCACCACCACACCTGGCTAACTCCCCTAGATTTTAAGTCAATTTGGTGCATACTTCTTTTTTAAATAATTCTGACAGTTCCTTTAATCTTTGCTTATTAATAAGAAATAAAATTTCTCATCAACCCTAAGTAAATTTTATCTAGTTTTTTCAACAGTAGAGATCAAGAATGACCATCTAACAAATAGTTTATTACATGCAAGGTACATTTAAGCTCTAATCAAAATCCAGTTATAAGATTGCCAAAGTCTACCAAGAAAAAAATCTAAGTTGCCATCATAATTAAATATTTTCTGTATAGAACCTGTTTTCAAATTTTATATATTTATATATTCAGGCATGGAGGCACACACCTGTAGTTAGAGCTACTCATGAGGTTGAGGTAGCAATATGGCTTGAGCCCCAGGAGTTTGAGACCAATCTGACCAACATATAGTGAGACCTCATTTTGAATACAATATTGTTCCATGTTAGAGTAGCTCCTTCTGTTCTGGAGTTTTCTACCTTTGCATCTTAGCCTGAAATATAAAGTTAGGTAACTATGATTTTGTGTGTGTACCATCTAAGCCATGGACTCAGTTTTGAACTGGGTGTCTATATGAACTGCATAGTCGTTTTAGTATGAGCAAAAGATGAGACTCTTGTCTCACTTCATAATTTATGCTGCTGATTATTGAAGTTTTCACCTATTTGGCCAGGGTATGCTGTGTTTAAAATAAAGCACCCTGGGCTGGGGATTTAGCTCAGTGGTTTGGCCACCTGCTGCGCAAGTGCAAGGACCCCAGTTCAATCCCCAGTACCAAAAAAAATAATAATAATAAAATAAAGCAACCTATCCTGCATAAACTTTTAATATATTTATCTTCTTTGGAATTTGACAAAATAGAATGCCCGGATAGTCTTAACACACAAAGCTTCAATGAAGGGCTTGGAGATCCTCTATCTCTGTGTTTCATAAGTTCATCAGCTTTCAGACCATTTTCATTTCATATTCATGAGCTTTTGTGTTTGGGACTTGTACTAGGCCTCAGACGTTCCACAGCTATCTGGAAGACATCATCAACTACCGCTGGGAGTTGGAGGAAGGGAAGCCCAACCCTCTGAGAGAAGCCAGTTTCCAGGACCTGCCCCTGCGCACGCGGGTGGAGATCCTGCACCGCCTCTGTGACTACCGTCTGGATGCAGATGATGTCTTCGACCTTCTCAAGGTGTTTCACTGTGGCCCTTTCTCTAGAGCAGTCTAAAGCCAGCAGTCAGGGATGTGGTCAGAATGGGAAATCCAAAGAAATTGAGAAAGCCCAGAGTTTGCCTTATGTGGCTGGTCTTTGGGTTCTTAATTGATAGTGATGCCATGTACAACCATGACCAGGGAGGCAAGGGAATACAAGACATGCAACACTGGGTTTGGTGGCGCATGCCTCTAATCCCAGCATTCGGGAAGCTGAGGCAGGAGGATTGCCTAGAGTTTAAGGCCAGCCTGGACTACATGGCGAGACCCTATTTCAAATTGAAAAGACAAGCATGTGCATGGCAATGTGTTATGTGTTTTTGGGGTTTTTTTTGTTTTGGGGGAGTTTTTTTGGTACCGGGGATCGAACTCAGGGCCTTGTGCTTGCGAGGCAGGCAGTGGAACCACTGAGCTAAATCCCCGGCCCAAATGGCAATGTGTTATTTCGGTTTAATTTCTGGTTGGTTTTGTGTATCCTTCCATCCCCTTGGTCCCAGCAGACAGGAACACGCAGAGATGCCTAGTCATTCTCCCGTCAACACATAAAACTGCAGCTTAATAAGCCACTGAATTGTATTTCCCAAGGTGTAAATTTGATTGAGTATAGCTAAAATATTTGTTGAAAACTCCACAGATTTGAAACCATATATGCTAATAAAGTTAATCTTCTATATATATATTTCACAAAATGTTGATCAAAGATATGGAAATCTCTTTCTTCCCTCATTCTGTTACCTGTTTTAGAAGCATATTGCAGAAAAAGGATATATGTTTGTGTTTTCATGAACAGGAAGGTCAGATTCTAATCCTTTTCAATCATAAATGGTTAAATGTGTTATGACTTCTCAGTCCAGCTCTGCACATAGATGCATTGTATAATTCAGTGTAGTCTTTGCTAAAGACTTCAGCCCAGTGGGAAGGCCAATACAGATCAGGTCCGGGGGTAAATTGAAAGTTGTAATGTTGAATCTCTGCAATTACTGGAATAAAAGGTTGCTGTGAGTTATGATAGAGCAAAATAGAGGGCCACACAAGACAAAGTCTTCCCAACATCTGATTCTACTTGGTTGTAATTGTCCTCTCTTTCATATATAACACATGTAAAATAGCTCTATACCAAATATGTAAAATGTACGTCAGAACTTTTGGTTTTTGTTTTTGGTGAAATGGAAACAGTAATGGAGTAGGGAACATTTGAAATATCTTCATATCTTGTTCTTCAAAGAAGGTAGCCCTTCCCATTCTGTCTGTTTTTCATATGCCCTAATCAGAAATTACATACTGGGGTATTTTAACCACTTACCAGTCCAATTATTTAAATACAGGATGGCCAAAAATTGCTTTTGTTGTTGTTGTTAATTTTTATAAGATAATGCAGTGGCACCTTGGTTCACGAACTTAATTCTCCCCACAATTCTGGTCACAAACCTAATTGGACAAGAACCAAATCAAATTTCTCCTTAAGGTCAACATTGAACCTAACCATTGGATTTGATTTGGTTCTTGTCCAACTTGGTTTGCAACCAGAATCATGGGAAGAAGTTCATCAACTGAGGTGCCACTGTATAACAAGAAATATAAAAACAATTTTATCAAATTTATTCAATAGAAGAATCAACTGGTTGAAATGACAGCTGCCCAAGCAACATTCAGGATAGTAAGTACATAAACTCACTGCCTGAGTGACTCTCGAGGCAAACTGTTAGGTGGTTAGAATATTAGGTGTGTCTGAGGATAAATTTTGAATTATTATTCTACTTTTTTCATGTTTTATTTTGTTTCTCATTTCCCAATCCCCTTTTTCCTACTGTACCCAGGGTCTGGATGCAGACAGTCTCCGTGTGGAACCTCTGGGTGAAGACAATTCCGGGGCCCTCTACTGGTATTTCTATGGAACGCGGATGTACAAAGAGGACCCTGTACAAGGAAAGTCCAATGGAGAGCTCTCCTTGAGCAGGTAGTCTGCAATGTCAGAGCTAATCGCTACTATATAAAATATCGTTAGAATTAAATGCATTAGAATCCTACAACACAATATGTATTTTTTTCTTAAGGAATTAACTGTGCTAGCATGCCTGCAAAGTAACAGCAAGGAGTTACAGTATTTCATACAAAAATTAAAAAGAATTATTCTGTGTAACCTTTGCCACAAGGCGAGGGTAAAAGATAAGTCTTTTTTTTTTTTTTAATAGTCTCTTTTTTTATGAAATGTCAAGAGATTCCTGAGGTGTACCACAGATTATTTTATACACCTTTCCAGCAGCACAGTCATTGGTCTGTAGAACAGTTTGCATCTTTCATACTAAATCCTTAAGAACTTCTTTTTCCTACTAGAATTGATAATCTGCTTTATGAACCTTAGTATCCACCAGTTTAAAGCCAGAAAATCTTAAGTGATGCCAGAAACATAAACCTTGCTAGGTGCTTCCTAAGTGAGAAAGAGACCTCTTTGTCCTAAGTAGACATCCTAGAGTGATACTTATTTTGTTTTTTATACTTCCTTAGTGCTAGGACAGTGCTCATTATTTGCATGTTAGATCTTCCTTTTTTTTTTTCCTATTCTCAATTTAATATTATAAAATGTCAGTTTTCCTTGTTGGTACATTACATTCCTTGTTTATATACATTACCCTGCTCTTTTTGCATGCCTCTTACATTTAATCCTTTTTGGTAACTTCATGGCCAGAAACAGTATAATTACTAATATAAAAGTCATACGTAGGGCTGGCGATGTAGCTCAGCAGCACAGTGCCTGCCTGGCAAGTGCAAGGTCCTGAGTTTCATCCCCAGTACCAAAAAAAAAGTCATACGTAATTCATCAGTCCGTTGTAAGATTATTTCAGTTTAATAATACTATTTCTTAGGGAAAGTGAAGGACAAAAGAATGTCTCAAATGTTCCTGGAAAAACAGGAAAAAGAAGAGGAAGACCCCCAAAACGGAAGAAACTACAGGAGGAGATTGTAGCAAAGTAAGAAAACCTTGTTAATCTTGATCTCAGATCCTTATGCTGAAAGGGACCATAATTTCACCGTTCCTTTTGTGATTTTTCCCTTGTGACCTGGTAAGGATGTTCATATATTTCTTAAGCTGTGGGTACATGAGTCAGAGTCACTAGGAAGCGTTGGTTGTAAGATGTCTAACAAATTATCTACCATTCCTAGACTATTCTTTTATTGGTGATTGTTACATGGTTAATGAGCATTAAAGTGATCAAGACAGTGGTCAGCATTATAACAAAATGAAAACCGTGTTTGACCCATAGTAAATGTTCAGTAAACATGTTATACTTCATATTTTAAAATTTGTTAGACCTTACATATTTTTACAGGAAGGTGGAACAAGTTAATCCATTTATGCTGAAGATTGAAGTTTTTTGAATTTCTGCATGAAATTCATATATGTTACCTGGAAAGATTGAGGGAACAAGAATTGAAGAGCGGGCTAGGGATTTAGATTCAGCTCAGTGGTGTTGCCACACCTGCCTCACAAGTTCAAGGTCCTGAGTTCGATCTCTAGTACCCCCTCGCCCCCAAAAAAAGGAATTTGAAGAGAAAACATTTCATTATGTTCTGTTGTTATGGGCCTTCCAAAAATGGATCACTATGCATTTTATGTGGTAAAGTGTTAACTAAATAGCATTTTTGTAGAACTATTATGTTATGCCATATCTGAGTTTAGGTGTTCTTTCTTTCCTAAAGGAAAACTTTGTCATTAATCATGCCCAGACATGCTTTTTTTTGTGTAGAATGAAATTTCCTACCATAAGGAAAAGGTAACATCTTAAATATTTTCTTAATCTTCAGTTTTATATTTGGTTTTGGCAAAGCATTCTCTTGTATTGGGAAAACAGCAAAGAAATATTTCTAAGAAATCAGATCATCAGGGGTTTAGCTCATTGGTACAGGCACCTGCCTGGCAAGTGCAAGGTCCTGAGCTCAATCCCCGGTACAAACAAAAAAGAAAAAAGAAAAAGAAAAGAAATCAGATCAGTTAGAATTTGATTTAACTCAGTCAGCACTTAACTTTGCACAGATTTTACTAGAGTGCAGCTGCCTCTTTCTTCCTTAGCAATGTGTTTGTGAGAAATGTCCTGTAATCACTTGGGCTCTATATAGACAACATATATGTTTTTGAATTTTGTTAATGGAACTCATGTCCTTTTCCATTTAGAAAGTTATTTTATACCTACCTCCATTTTTCTGTATCAGCAATTGGCATATCTTAGTAAAGAATAGTCACTTTACCAAGCACAAATAGACTTATGCTACCCTCTGCTGGTGGTTTTATACTTTTAGAGCTGGGTATATGAAATGATATTGAAATATTTTTAAATTAAGTGAAATTTATTTCAAATTAAGTTTTCATTTAATTATAAAATATTAGGTACACTATCCACATTGCAAATGCTCAGAAGCCATCTGTGGCTTGAGACTTCCTAATCAGACAGCCCTTGATAAAGAACATTGCATTTCAGAGTTGTATCAAACACTGTATACTACATTAAATGTTGAAAACAAGTCCACAGTGTTCTCTTCTTACTTCAGGAATACAGTTGACAAAGAATATTATTAATGCTGTTGTCCATTTTATAATTTAATCCCCAAATCCCTGTGCACTAGGAACTTTTGTTTGTTTTGGGTTTTTTTGAGACAGGCTGGCCTTGAGCTCACTATGTAGCCCTGGCTGGCCTCAAACTCATGGCATCCTCCTTCCTCAGACTCCCATGTGCTGGGATCACAGGCAAGTGCCACCATACCCAGCCCTAGGAACTTTTTAATAGCCTCACTTATAACAAAGTTAACTACATGCATGAAGTCACATTGTCAGTGGAACACAGAGGCATTCCAACTTTTAACGCCCATGTTTGGGGTCTCTCCCTTAAATAAATAAAATAAGCATATCTCCAAGTATATCCCTGAGTCGGGAAGGAGGGCATTGAAATGCTTAGCTCTTTTTTCTTGGCATTTAACTATTAACGTGTAGCTCATCTGATTGCTTACCAAAAGATTTTAAGAGGTACTATTTTCCTGTGCATTAATGTTGTTGCCATAACACTGGGTACCTGTATGTCACTATTTCTACTCCACAATGAGAAGACTACATCCAGGTGTTTATGTATTTCATAGAATCATTTCTCTTCCTAACTTTGCCCCCTTAACACACTCTCTTGTCCCTATTACATTTATTGGGTTCACATTCTGAGGGAAGCACAGAACAGTTTTGGACACGTCTTTGTTTTAATTGCTTCCTCCTTTCCCTGTGTTCCAGTGAGAAACAGGAAGAAAGCTCCTTGCCATCTGAGCCACAGAAAAGAAATGGTAATTATCTTTTTTTGCATTTAGAAAGGATTAAATCAACATGATTCATTTATATGATGATGGTGACTGTCTTTTTCCAGAGTCATACAAAGTAGTTAGGATCATTGTAGTAGCCATCTAACTAGACTCCTTCCTCTTCTCCCATTTATCATTCCTTATCCCTTATCTCATGCAATCTCTCCATCAGTTGGACAGTTTAAGATTAGGATTGGGTCCACCAGGCCAGCTGGCATGTGCCTGTAATCCCAGCACTCTGGGAGGTGGAGGCTGGAGGATCAAAAGTTTGACCCAAGCCTGGGCATTTTAGCAGTTTACCAAAATGCTGTCTCAAAATAAAAAAGGCTTAGAGTGTAGCTCAGTATGAAGGCCCTGTGTCCAGTCTCCAGTATTTGTGTGTGTTCTAGGTCTGTTCACAGTGTCCTGTTACTTGGCACAGTGAAATACACACCCAAACATTTGAGTGAATGAGCAGCTTCTTAGAGAGCTTTTTTAAAAAAAATAACATACTAGTTTCTTACCTAGATTTTAATTCTGTAATTAAAATAGCTTAAGTTTGGGGATAGGATCAGTTTACAGTATCATGATATAAATAAAATAAATTTCTGCAAAGGTTCTAACTCAAATATTTCTCTAAAAGAGGATATAAATACATTTAAGCATTTCCAGAATAATTAAAATCTTATGAAAGTCACAGTAATTATTATTGTATTGCCTCTAGGCATTCTTTCACTTGTAAATAATGATAATACCAGAAAAATCAAAAGTGTACAATTCAAACTTTAAAAAGTAATATATCCTGGGCCAGGGATTTAGCTCAGTGGCACTGTGCCTGCCTTACAAGCACAAGGTCCTGAGTTCGATCTCCGGTACCAAAAAAAAAAAATATATATATATATATATATATATATATGTATATATGTATATCTTGCCAGACATAGTAGCACATGGTTGTAATCCCAGTACTTGGGAGGCTGAAGCAGGAGGATCTTCATGAGTTTGATGGCATCCAGAACTATATAGCAAGAGCCTGCCTCAAAAAGAAAAAAAAGTAGTATATCTTTTTTTTCCCTGACTCTCTTAATTTAGTCATGATCCAGGGTAGAGATAATATTGAGAGTAAATAGGGAAGAAAACTATTCTAGTAAGATCTGTTGTAGTTAATGTGTCTCTTTCTTTTGTAGGGTCCCAAGGGCCAGGCCAAGGCACTTGGTGGCTCCTTTGCCAAACTGAGGAAGAGTGGCGACAGGTCACTGAGAGTTTTCGAGAGAGGACATCACTTCGAGAAAGGCAGCTCTATAAGCTCCTCAGTGAGGACTTCTTGCCTGAGATCTGCAACATGATCGCCCAGAAGGTATGCAAACACGTACAGTACTGGCCTTCCCATCTGTTAGGTCCCCAGTACAGTGGTAGTAAGGAATTTTGAATACATTCCACTGTCCTAGAAGTGGTACAGGCTCTCATATCTGAATTGGAGTGTTCACATGGGATCTTGTGCTACCCTCCTTCACTGTGGATTTTAGAATGTTCACCTAAAAGGCTGGCTTGGTGGTGCATACTTGTAATCGCAGCACTCGATAGGCTGAAGCAGGAGGATCGCCGAGAGTTTGAGGCCAGCTTGGGCTACACAGTGAGTTCAAGGCCAGCCTGGACTATATAGTGAAACGCTGTCTCCCCCACAAAAAAACAAAAAACAAATAGGGCCAGGGATTTAGCTGAGTGGTGCTACCGCCTGCCTTATAAGCACAAGGTTCCGAGTTCAATACCTGCCTCCCCCCCCATGTTCTCATCCCCAAGAAGTCCTATGTGCCTACCACCAGCCAGTGTTTACAGTGGCTTTTCACAGCCCAGAACCAGCTTGCTTGTGACATTTCCCAGGAGACCTCCCCTGAGCCTGCCAGCTAGCTGTTCTCCTCCCACCCCGTGCAGTCTGTGTATAATACTTGCCCAGTTTTTTTGTTTTGTTTTTGTTTGTTTTTCCAGTACCAGGGATCGAACTCAGGACTTTGCGCGTTCGAGGCAGGCGTGGTGCCACTGAGCTAAATCCCCGGCCCCTTTTGTTTTTAAACAGAAATCATCCTTATGGATCTGTCTCTCCCACTAAGCACCAGGTTTTTTTAAATCTGTGCTCTGCTTTTCCATGACATGTTCGAACCACCCCTCATTTTCTTCCTTATTCTTCCACTACTACTCTCAAAAGCCATACTTCAAGTTTACTGTCTCCATGAACTGTCCCTGTTTTGCCCAGCCTTAATATTTTCTCCCTAATATGTCTCATGCTTTACGTCATTGTAAGCTTAAGCTTCTTCAGTTCAGGTGCTGTCTTACTCTTCTTTTTAATGTGTTTTCTATGGCAAATAGTTGATCATTCAGTTTATTTTATTAACTAATGCTAATATTTCTGATTATTAATACATTTCTGGAAAGTAGTTATAACTCATTCCTATAGCATGTGCAGGAAAATACCAAATGTCAAATATGTAAACTACTTTTCAGGAACTTGAAAACATTGGTTCAGGGCTTACGTTGTCATCTATGACCAAGAAAATCTGCACCTTCTCATCAGGGTGTTTAATTCCATATGAGATACTCCATTTATGTACAATTTAAATAAACCAATTTCTTCTGGGTTTTAAAATTTAGTTTACTTTTGTTTGTTTTTCTGGAGACAAGGTCTGCCACCACAAAACAACAAAACCAGAATCATTTGGATGTATTCACAAGGTAAAATTTTCTAAGCCTTCAAAGAATAAGTAATTTGCCAGCCAGGCAGATGGCACATGCTTGTTATTCCAGCACCCTGGAGGCTAAGGCAGCGGGACTGGGGCAGTGTAGTGACTTAACAAGACCATATCTGAACATAAAACAATTTTTAAAAGGCTTGGAGATACAGCTCATTGTGAAGGCTTGGAGTTCAATCCCTAGTTACTACCACTACCACCACCCCCACACACAAAAGAGTAGATAATTTGTAAATATTTCGCAAATGAAGTGTTTGTGATATAACTCAGTGGTAGAGCACTGACATAGCATGTATGAAGCCCTGCTTTTGATTCTTAGCACTACAAAAAAAAAAAAGAAAAGAAATAAAGGAGGAAAGTTTGAAGGTACCTTGTTCATTTAGACATGAGTATCTCTCATCTCATTCCTGATAAAATTGAATACATTGTTGTCATTCAGTAATGTGTATGTCAGGTTAATACTAAAAAGTAAAAGCTACTTTACCAAAAGCACAACACATCATAGCCAGACTTGGTAGTATACCTGTAATCCTAGCACTTGGGAGACTGAGGCAGGAGAATCACTGTGAGTTCAAGACCAGCCTGAACTACATAGTGAGACTCTGTCTCAAAAGAAAAAAAAAAAATACATCATAACCCATCAAGATAAAGCCTTCAGTGCTGGGGATTTGGCTCAGTGGTGCTGCCGTCTGCCTTGAAAGTGCAAGGTCCTGAGTTCGATCCCCTGTACCAAAAAACCCCAAAAAACAGATAAAGCCTGCAACTGTATGATAACATTGTCTTAGAAGTCTTATCCAATTTAATATAATAAAAAAGCATTAAAGATGCAAAATTTTGGGGTGTTTTACTGGAGGGATATAATTCTGATGAAAATATCTATTAATTAGAGTTCATAACAGTGCTCCATAACTAGACTACCTCATCAGAATCATATGCTGGGTTACCGAAATCTCAAGATTCCCACCTCTGCACCATTCCACACTCATCAGAATTTTCTGAGGCAGTGCCTTGTGTTCAGCATTTGTGGAACCTCTCCAGATGATTGCTTGGGGAGAGGGGGCTGGGAATGTAGCTGAGTGGCGAGGTGCCTGCCTGGCAAGCTCTGAGTTTGACTTCTGGTACCAAAGAAAGTAAATTTAAAAAGAAAGTATTAAGGGCCATCTGTTCCTGGGAAGAAAGCCTAATTATAAAACTCACTCACCTGGATACATTGAGAATCACTCTAAGCAAATCTCTGCATAATAAAAAATTTTTCCAAGAAAAGAAATGTAAATATTGTAAGATAGGAACAGTGAGTGACTGGTCCTGCCACATATTGTCACATGAATCAGCATGGTGGAAGCATTCTTAAATGGCCTTTAGTAGACCAGCTCGCACAAGTGATTTGCTAAAAGCTGTAGAGAGTCCTCAATTCTGTCTTTACTGTGTTTAGTGTTCAGCAATTATTGTAATATTTTACATGTCTGTTTGTGCCACTGTATTTATTATAGTTAAATATTTAAGTGTTGTGAAACCAATAAAATATGGCAATAAAAATTTTATTGAACTTGGAATGTTGCTTGCCCATCATGTGCAAAGCCTGAGGTTCTGTCCCCAGCACCACAGAAGAAGCAATTACTAAAAGTGAATTTCTTCTGAAAAGTTGACTATCAGTTCAGAATAAAACAGTAATGGATTATATGGGAAGAAACCATTAAAGTCTTAAGGACTCTACTTTTGGTTTAAGTGTGCTGAAGGTCTTTCTTACTTTCACTTTAAAAAACAAAGACCAAATGAAGGTTTGAGAGGGAATGTGAACAAATCACAGGAGAAAACCTGTCAGTGGGGTCCTGAATTGTATGATTGATGAATGGTAAGAGCATTTATACATTGAGTAAAGTGTTTGAAGTGTGTGAATTTGGGGGTTTTTTGTTGTTGTTGTTGTTTTAAGGCAGGCTCTTGTTATGTGGTTCAGGCTGGCCTTGAACTCACCATGTAGCCCAGGTTGGCCTCGAACTTTCAGCAATTTTGCCTCAGCCTCCTGAGTGCTGGGATTTACAGGTGTGCACCACCACACTCTGACTACTTTTTTATTAATCCCCTACTTTATCTGTGTTAACTTAGCCTTGTCCATTCTAACTGCATTAACTAAGAAGGATTGGGCTGGGGATTTAGCTCAGTGGTTCCGGTGCCTGCCTTGCAAGTGCAAGGACCCGAGTTCGATCCCCGGTACCAAAAAACAACAACACACACACTAAGAAGGATTTTCTTCTAACAGTGAAGATAGCCTGTGATTCACATTTGAACAGTGAAACAGTTCAGTAGAAAAAAGCATGGTGCTCAGAAATACACACCATTGCATTAAAATGAAAAGGAAAAAAAAAGCATGAAAACCTGGACAGTGGAGCAAGAGTTTATGTGGTATCATGGAAGAATCAGGAAACTGTCTTCAAAATAAATTTATTTGAGCTGTGGTGTTGCCCTGTTCTGGCTATCCCTTGGATAGGTTAACTGAAGATCTCTGAATGTCAGTTTGTTTGCATATTTGCAAAATGAAATACTGTCACTTCACAGAAGTTTTTTTAAAAACCCATGGCAGTACATATGTGCAGCAGTAAGTAGGCACTCAGTTCCCTTCCATTATTTATGATGGTAAATAATTGATAAGAACTCTTGGTAGGGCCGGGGATTTAGCTCAGTGGTTCTGTCGCCTGCCCTGCAACCGCAAGGACCAGAGTTCGATCCCCGGTACCAAAAGAAAAAAAAAAAAAGAACTCTTGGTAAAAAAGTAAATCCACGTTTCTTAACAAAAGTAAATACAAGAAGAGAGATTTGATAAATCTTCAAGGGTATGACATTGAAGTTTAAGAGGATCGAAAGACAAGGTCTGCCAGCTGTGGTGGTGCGTACCTGTGATCTTAGCACTTGGGAGGGTGAGGCAGGAGAATTGAAGCTAGTTCGAGGCTAGCCTGGCCTTCATGGTAAAGACCCTATCTCCAAAAAAAAGGTAAGGTCTGCTTTGCCCATAAAATTTAAAACTTTTTAAATCAAAAGGGATATAGGGGTAGCAATCTTTTGTTTTGTTTGGTTTTTGGTACTGGGGATCAAACTCGGGTCCTTGCGCTTTCACTGCAGGCAGCAAAACCACTGAGCTAAATCCCCAGCCCCTCAAAAAGGATATAGGGCCAGGGATTTAGCTCAGTGGTTCCGGCGCCTGCCTTGCAAGTGCAAAGTCCCGAATTCGGTCCCCAGTACCCCCCCCCCAAAAGATACAAACTACTGAAAATGTTTGTTGTTAGTGGTAGAGAAAGTGATAATATAGATAATAAGTAGTATTTGTACAAAAAAAATTTAGGCTGGGCATGGTGCCGCATGCCAGTGATCCCAGCACTCAGGAGGCTGAGGCAGGAGGATCACCACAAGTTTGAGGCCAGCTTGGGCTACATAGTGAGTTCAAGCCAGCCTGAACTACAAAGTGAGACCTTGTCTCCAAAGAAAAAAAAATTTAGGCTGCTAATGAACATTAGGCCCTTAGATTTAGATATAGAGATACTCCTTTACCCTCTGTATTAAGATAGCATGTTCCTCTTAGTAACTTTCACATGTGACAAAGTTGGAATGAAACTGGTATTGACTTCAGTTGCTGTTAAACATGATACACTGATATGATTCCTTTGGAAGACAGTTCCGTGATAAGTTTATACATTTAAAGTTTAAGAGATCCTACTGTTACAGTCTTAAAACGTAAAAGGAGTTGCTCACAAGCATATTGAGGAGACTGCTCGGGTAGCTCTGGGGAAAAGTACTTGCAGAGGATCATGACCCTCTTCAGTACTTGGAATTGGATTTGCACTGGGGCCTGCTTAGAATCTGCTTTGGAAACAGAAAAAGCTTTCTGGAGATCCTGAGTCATCACAGCTCCCATCATTGCTTTGCAGTGAGTTTAAACTGTATAAACCTTATTGTCACTGAGTTTCTTACATCTTTTGGTTCCCTGTATCATTGATCCTTCAAGAAGTCTCAAGACTTTGAATTAAGTGGCTCCAGAACCAAACCCAGGAAATGTTGAGTTTTGAAGCCTGGGCCACAGAAGCTACTCTCTGACCCAAACTCCTTGCCTACCACCTTTTAAGGTGGTAGCTTATAAGGTTAAGCTACAGAGCTCATAACACAAAAATTCCAAACACATGCCTATACACCTTGGCCTTTGAAATGATTAATTAGAATTGGATTGTTCTCAGAAAGTATTTCCCTCTTACTAGCAGTCTCTTTCAATCCTGCTCAGTTTTCTCAGGCTGTAATCTTTTCAGGTGAGCTCTCATATTCTGAGTCACTCCTGCTTTTCTCCACTCCTCTCACTTTGAGTTCCACCCTGGCAGCTGCCCTCACTTCTCACTACTGCCACTGAACTGCCTTTTAAGGGCCAGTCTGCCTCCAGCTGCTCCTAATACCCTCATTCAGCGCCATTCCCTTCAGCTGAAGCTGATAAAACATGGCTTCCCTTAATCATTCAAGGGAGATTTTTTTCTTTAGTTTAAATGTGGAGGTTTCTCGCCAGTGATTTTATCAAAGCAGACTTGTGGTTGTCTGTTGAGTGTATTTTTGTTGTTATAAGAGAATACACTGGCTTAGTACCTTGCATAGCTGAATAGTTATTTCCCCTGGTCATCCTTAGAAAGGGTACTTGCAGCCCTTTATCAAGGTAAAGCAATTACCTGAGTGCCTTAATGGTCATTTTTCTATTGGTGGCGGTGGCAGCAACAGTAACAGCAGTAGCAGTAGCTGAGAACACCCTAATCTATCTTTTCCTTTCTTTTTCCTCACTTCTAACTATAGGGAAAACGTCCACAACGTACAAAGGCAGAGTTGCAACCTAGGTGGATGTCTGACCACTTGTCCGTCAAATCCATCAAACAAGAGGTGAGTGTGTGTGAGAGTAGAAAGAAGGCATTTTCATTATTCAAAAAGGATAGTCCCATTACATTTCATGTACTTACTTATTCCTACACCTGTATTTTCCTTTACTTCAACCTTTATTGAGGATTTTTATATGGAAAATGCATTTCTATAAAGAGAAGGACTTAAAAATAGTTCATGAAATCACACTCTTTTGGATTTTAAAATCTGGGATGATGGGCATATCTATATTTAAGATAGATGAGATTGATAAATCCTACAGTAGATGTAGAAAGTTCATGTATGCAAACATGGAACAAGTTGGAGCTATGCAAAGAGAAGGGAACTTGGGCAGGCGGAGCTGTATCTGACCTGAGCTGGTAAAGTGACTGGGATTTTGATGGTGGACCCTAGAGTTAGGGCAGTTGAGGCAGGGGATATTCCTCATGACAGGAATAATATAAACAAAACCACAGAGGCTGCAAAGTGCATAATGTGGTCAAAGAAGAGTACATTTGGAGGTGGCTGTCATATAAGTAGCTTGTCGCATTCAGTGGAAGAAAATGCTGGGATAATCAGATTTTGGAGTCTGTGTCTTTAGTAGGTAAATGGAAGGGAGATTATGTCATCACATCTTTGCGTTGGGAAGACAACATTTTGGTCACTCTTTGGGAATGATTTAGTAAGGAAAAACTGGCAGGTGTGACAGCAATTCTTCCAGCAGGATTTAGCAGTGTAATTCCTGCAATTGGAAACATAGGTCTAGAACGGAAGAGATGGCACTGGCCTTTGGGGGAAGGTGTGCAGAGAATGATAGATAGCTCTGCACATGGAGGTCACAGCTACAAGAGGTTAGGCAGACAATAAAAGTTTTGAGGGCTGTTTTTGCTTTTTGTCGTTGCTTTATTTCTAGAACTTTAAGCAATTTTTCAGAGTTGTATTAGCCTTCCCATTTCGACACAGTACCCAACACCCACAAGTTAGAGGATAGGTTTAATTTGGCTCACAAAAAGTTGTTACTGATCACTGTGGTACTTGTCTTTTGGGAAGGATGACAGTGAAAGAAAACAAGTATTGAAAAAGTAAAAAAATGAGAACTTGGGGCAGATCCCTGTTTTTTGTTTAATTGGAGATATAATATGGATCTGGAGAATATATGAATAAGGATGAAAATGGATACATAGCTGACAGATGAGATGAACTGCCTAAGTGGCAAGACCTCATCATGAAATAGTTTCTCCTAAGACATGAAGACAGAAAGGATAAGCGAAGATAGATGCATCTTGAGGACAGGAAAAGTGTTTAGGAATTCATACTCTTATCACACGAGGGGAGTGGGGCCTTCAGGTGGGAGTTCAAGGCATAGTGTTACATGGGAGCAACAGCCTGGCAGTACTAAGAGTGTTTTCCAAGTGGCACCCAGAAGCCAGTTATGTGTATTTTTATTTTGTAATGTAGCTTATACATTAAGTGACTTTACAATCACACTGTAGAAAGGGACAAATTTGGTACATATTGTTATTCACTGAGATTTAAAATTGGAAAGGTAGAAGTGAAATGAGGCATAAGAAACCCAGCTGACTGCTACAACTGCTTGTGATTCTGGTGACAAGTAGAGTAAAATAAAGGAAGAAGCCAGCACTAGGGTTTAGGGAGCCAATTCTGCTTAGGCTCTGTTCCCATCCTAGGAAGGCTGCAGGATCGGGACCAGGGTACCCCCTAAGCTGCCTCTGTCCTCAGAAAACCTTTCTGCACTTGTAGACCATGTCTCAGGCTGCCTGTGATGTAACAGAGCCTTTTTTTTTTTTTTTTTTTTGCCTCACAATATTTTGGGGGCTCTTAAATCATGTCAACATGGTGGTGTATTAAAGAGATCTTGTTATTGACTAAGTGCATATACTACTGTAAGCATTGTGGTGTGCGCCGCCACACCTAGCCTTTTTTTGCTATATTTTGCTTTAGCAGTTATCTCTTTCTTCAGCTTATAGATGTGTTATTACCAGATTGATGACTCAACATTGAATTCCCTTAGGGATGACAATTCTGTAGTGGCTAGCTTCCCATATCCCCACTCTCCTCTTCCTCCTGCTAGTCATTGATTTGGAAATAGTCTCTATAATTGGGATCCAGCCATAATTTTCAGGTGGTTTTCCAGTGCATCTTGCCAAGTTGGGTTCTTTTCATTCTCTTTATAAACTTGGCAGTTTCTGTTTGCTCCCCTGGGCAGTCCTCAGTGCCCTAACTCACAATTTAGATTGCCCTAGAGGCTCTTGGTGGCTGCAAATGGAAGTTTAACATCAAACACTAACATCTATCTCTTTTACTCTTGGCAGGGTTTGTTGGTTTGTTTGGTTTTTTTAAATTCTGCTCTTTAGTTTGAGATACAAGAAACCACAATACTACAGAGATTTTGGAGTATCTATTGTGGAACCAGATATCCTGGAGGAAACCTTAATGATAGTGTGAGTTTTGTGGTTTTATTTCTAAACCAGAAAATCTTCAGTTCTTTCAAACATTGGTAACTTGGAGTCCAATCTTAGTGCCTCAAAGAGTATTTTAATTGTGGCTCCTGGGGAAAAAATATCAGTGAAGGGACTTTTCTTACTGAAACGTAGATTGGGGCTGCTAAGAATATTGTTGTCAGCAAGCTCTGGACCTCGCTGTTGCTAGGGTAATGCTCGCAGTACTGTGATCTCAAGGGTGCTCCTACCTGGCAAGGGTGCCAGTCCAGGGACCTGCCTTGGGAGAGGGGCGCTGGTGTTACTAAAACCAGCAATTCTAGCTTATAATACTTCAGAGAATTTCAAGTGCTTTCTTAATTAGCTTCTTATTAAGATGTCCTCTTGATTCTAATAGGATGCTTTCTTATCTACAGAGTATTTCCACACCAACCCTTAGTCCATTCTCAGTTGGCTTCTTGTAAAGAAAACCAATGTAATGCAGGATGAAGGGTTTCCCCACATACACATTGTTTACTTTTTTGATTTAATTTTTGCTCATTCGGTTTTACCAGGCCTTCAGTAGTTAAAACCCTACAAAAGCACCTTCAGAAGTGAATGCTGTCCTTTCACAGTTGTGTTCACTTGCACTTGCTCTACCTCGAGGTGGCGTGGTGCTCAGTATTGGCATGGAAATCTTAAAACAGGCTCTCAGGGCCAGGGATTTAGCTCGGTGGTTCCACCACCTACCTCGAAAGTGCAAGGTCCTGAGTTCAATCCCCGGTACCAAAAAAAACCTCTCCATAAAGATGCCTTTTGGTGGTGGTGGTACCAGGGATCAAACTCGGGACCTTGCGCGTTTGAGGGAGGCAGCAACACCATGGAGCCAAATCCCAGGAAAGACTCTACATAAAGTACACAACATAGATTTTTCTTTTTCAGATGTGAATGTTGCCATTTATGTAAAAGTAATTGTCATAATTCATATGATAGGGGAAACTTAAAATTACATGCTGATAAAAAAGAAAAGGAGTAAAAAATAAAAAAATTTTTAAAAAAGGAGTTGAGAAATGTGAGGCAAAAAAACCCCATATCTAGCTGAGCCACAGGGAATTTCACCTGACCTAGCAATGCTGGGTGGGAGTTCTGGAGAGAGTGATACAGAAACAGGTGGAGTGGACACTGGGTGCAGGTATCACACCTTCAAGGTGATGGGCCACAGCTGGCAGGGCGGGCAGACAGAGCAGGTACAGGTTCCTCACTTGAGATTGAAAGACATTTGGGGAGCTTTAAGTTTGCTGCTCAAACATGCTGAAATTCAACCTACTCCGTTGTTAAAGCCTGTGCTTAGCGTTTCTATGGATTTTTTTTTAAGGTTTTACATTTATTTATTAAAGGTAAAAGAAATATGTTCTGCAGAGCAAGTGTAGAATTTTTTTTTTCTGATACCACGGATCGAACTCAGGACCTTGCACTAGTGAGGCAGGTACAGTGCCACTGAACTAAATCTCCAGCCCAAGTTTATGTGTTAATGTGCTAAAAGACCAGTAATGAGACACACATTATATGGTTCTGTATATAACCAGAATAAATACATCCATGGAGACATTAAGCAGATTGGTTTGCCTGACACTGGAGGAGAGAGATGGTAAATAGCTACTTAGGCATCAACAGAATCAAATTTCTATATTAGGATGGTTTGGGGGAGGGGGTGTTTGTTTCATTTGGTTTTTTGATTTGTTTTGTTTTGTGTTTTGGTACTGGGGATCGAACTCAGGACCTTACACTTACGAGGCAGGCACAGTGCCACTGAGCTAAATCCCCAGCCCTGGTTTGGTTTTTGTGAAGCAGTCTCACTATGTAGTTCAGACTGGCCTCAAACTCACAGCAATCCTGTCTTCACCTCCCAGATGCCAGGATTACAAGTGTGGCTTTATATATTTTTTGTTAATACATTTGTTTTTTTATTTTTGAGACACGGTGTCTTTAGCCCAGTTTGACCTCAAACTTGCAGGGGGCCTCTTGCCTCTGATTTTGAGCATCTGATTTAAGAGCAACAATCATGCCAGTCATGGCAGCACATGCCTATAATCCCAGCACTTTGGGAGGCTGAGGCAGGTAGACTGCAAGTTCAGATCTTACCTGGGCAACTTAGTAAAGCCTTATCTTAATTTTTTTTTAAAGAAGTAACAGGGCTGGGGATATAGCTCAATACTAGACCATCCCTTGCTTCTCTCCCCTAGTACCAGAAAGAATGGAATAGAGGGTGGAGGGAGGAAAAAGAGAAAAGAGGGAAAGGCAATCACTGGAAAATGTAAGGGGCAGAGAAAGATAGGAAAAATTGATTAGTGCATACGAAACTGCAATTAGGAGTAAGAAGTTCTAGTGTACTGTTACTTATTGCACATAGGATGAGTAGAGATAATAGTTATATACTATATACCTGAAAAAAGAGATTTTAAAAAATATTTTTGCCGTAGTGATACTTAACACGATACATTTAACCTGATTTGCTTTTGTGTGTGTGTGTGTGTGTGTGTGTGTGTACCGGGCATCGAACTCAGGACCTCATGCTTGCCAGGCAGGCTCTGTGCCACTGAGCTACATCCCCAGCCCTATATATATTATATGGTACCCCATTAATATGTATAATTTTGTGTTTTTTATGTAGCAATAATAATTACAGGATTTCATTCAGAGGAAAACTATAGCTTAATAAAAAGGGATAGAAAAGCATCACTCGAGTTATGACCTTTATTTTCCCAATGCCTCATCAAATATCTATTTGTAAATTAAAATTTGTTCTTATCTATAATCTTTAAAGTCATTTTGGTATGACTTAGATCAATATTGTTTATTTGACCTAACCAACAGCAGACTAAGCAAAGGTAATAACCAAGGTGGGCTATGCACTGGGAGGCTAAGGCAGGAGAATCCACAAGTTTGAGCCCAGCCTAGATACTTAATCAATTAGCAATACTCTGTTGGAAAAAATTAAAAATTTAAAGTAGGCTGGTTCAGTTTCCAGTAATACTGAAAATAAAACAAAAAACCAACATGGAACCATCTTCAGGCAGAAGTATTTCTCAGGCCAGGCATGGAGGCACTCATCTATAATCCCAGTACTTGGGGAGGCTGAGGCAGGAGGATCACCACAAGTTTGAGGCCACCCTGCCTACGTAGTGAGTTCAAGGGCAGCCTGAGTTACATAGTGAAACCTTGTCTTACACAAAGTATTTCTCATTTGAATGATGGGGCTAATGTCTGGCAGATGCCCTCTACTTGTTACAAGCAGGTTTATATGCACATCTCATTGCTTCAAGATAAAAGTATCAAACCAAGATTTTTCCAAAATAATTCAACCTCCAGTAAAAATTCAAGGATAACTTTCATGAAAAAAAAATTATGACCAGGCATGGTGGCTCATACCTCTAATCCTAGCACTTGAGAGGGCGAGGCAGGTGGGTCACACAAGTTTGAGGCCAGCCTGGACTACATAGTGAGACCCTATCTCAAAAACAAACAGGGCTGGGGATTTAGCTCAGTGGTTCTGCGGCCTACCTCCCAAGCACAAGGATCCGAGTTCAATCCCTGGCACCCCCCACCCCAAAAAGTGTGTGTGATGGGTTTTGTTCGTTTGGTTGGTTGTTTTGTGGTTCTATGGTTAAATCCAGAGCCTCCACACTGAACTATATCCCCAGCCATATGTATTGCCAAGTTGCCAGGGCTGGGATAAACTTGCAGTCCTCCTGCCTCAGCATCCCAGAGTGCTGGGATTACAGGCATGCACCACCACACCAAGCTTGATGTTTTTCTTAGCATGTAAACAACGTGATGGGTGCATCCATAGGTTTTTCATTTGGAATATAAATAATAAGTTAGGTTATATAAATTTTGAGAGATTAATTGGATGCCGTTTTTTTTCCAGTACCAGGGATCGAACTCAGGACCTTGCACTTGCCAGGTAGGCAGGGCACTACTGAGCTAAACCCCCAGCCCTGCATTATACAAATTTTAAATAACTAGAATCATTTACATTTGTAGTTTTACATTTGAAAATTTCTGCTTCATTGTTATCAAACTTCATAATCAATTTCTAATACCTCACCTTAAACATTCACAAATTCTAATCCTTAGGTACTTGAACATATTTTAATTTTAGACTTTAAGCAGGTATTGCATGGGGGTGATAAAAAGTTAATGAAAGTTAGTGGGGGTTTTTTGTTTTTGTTTTTCGTACTGGGGATCGAACTCAGGACCTTGCACTTTCGAGGCAGGCACAGCACCACTGAGCTAAATCCCTGGCCTGAAAGTTAGATTATTTTAGAACATATATTGCTAGTTTAACTCTCAGTTTATTTGGGAAAGTGTTGTTCTGAGCTCCAAAGCATTTATCTATTCATAGACTGTGGAGACAACATACCAAAGACTGTTGAAGGCCTGGTGATTCCAACTTAGGTAGCATTACTATTTTCAGGTTCACACATTTGCTTCAGGCCTTTCTGCATGTGTGTATTACAAAATTGAGATTACATTGGACATCTTTGTAACTTAAGTGTTTTGTCTCTCTCTGGTGTGAGTTGCACCAGAATTCAGTTTGTTTTGTTGGGAGTCCACTATTGATCAGGACATCTTTGCATTTTTAGAATATGTCTTCATATTCATTGCAAAAAGTTATATAGATTTTTTTTATAGGTTCTTTTCCAAAGAAAGTGTCACATTCCCAATTAAGCTTCATCTTAAATGGGATCATCTCTGAAGCTAATGTCAGTTTTGTCTCTCTGTTGACACCTGATTGATTTTTCTGTGTTTGCAGCCTATATTCTTTGTGCCATGCAAAGGCATGTCTTCATTGGAAGTGTTCAAAAAAGTAATTCTAGCTCCACGTCCGCATAAAAGTTGAGGGTAGAAATTGAAAAGGAACGACTTCTGTGTTCTGGGCTGAAGAATGGCTCAGAACTACTTTTGTGTGGTGGTGGTGGTGGTGGTGGTGGTGGTGGTGTTTTGAGACAAGGTCTCACTATGTAGCCCAGGCTGGCCCTGATCTTGAAGAGATTCTCCTGCATCAGCTTCCTGAGTGCTGAGATTACAGATGTGTGCCACCACACTCAGCTGGCTCACAACTAGTTTTATTGGAGAATATGTATTGTAAAATTGTCATAAAATTATGAAGGTAATGATCATTTTTCCATAATTTACCTTTTATTTTGTTTCCTTTTTTAATATTTATTAGTACATGTTTGCAGTACAAAGTGATTACATTTGTACTGGGCATGGTGGTGCATGCCTGTAATCCCAGCACTCAGGCTGAAATAGGAGGATCACGTGAATTTGAAGCTAGTCTGGGCTACATAGTGAGTTCAAGGCCAGCTTGGACTACATAGCAAGACCCTGTTTCAAAAAACAAAAAAAAAAGGGCTGGGGATTTATCTCAGTGGTTCTGCCACCTGCCTTATGCAAAATTTTTAGTACCGGGGATCAAACTGGGGTCCTTGCGCTTGCGCAGCAGGCGGTGAAACCACTGAGCTAAATTGCCCCCCCTCCCCAATTATTTTAATGCTTATATTCATCATGGGAAGTTGGCAAATGTACATAGCATGCTTTGATGTTTTTTATTTTGGTACCAGGGATCGAACTCAGGACCTTGTGCTTGCGAGGCAGGCCTGGTGTCACTGAGTTAAAATCCCTGGCCCAGTGTTTTTTATTTTGTTAGATTTCTTAGTCACATTCCCACTGATCACCTGCAAACTTTATGTTAATGTAGTTTGGGTTGAAAAATAAGGGGAAATGCTGACTAATCTTTGAGTAATTTTCAAGACTTTATTATTGCCTTCAGAACTTTTCTGGGGTTTTTTGTTTGTTTTTGTTTTGTTTTGTTTTTCCATACCAGGGATCAAACACAGGGCCTTCACACTGAACTACGTTCCAAGCCCTTTTTTTTTTTTATTTTGAGACACTGATAAATCTAAAAGAATAGCTTCTCTGAACTGCCTCAGTTTCTCCTTTTTTGTTCATCATATTACCCATATGATTGGCTCCTTCCTGCTCACAGTACATTATATAAATCAATGGGCCCAAAACTTTTGCCCAGTTTTAAAACCCCATTAAGGGCTGGGGATTTAGCTCAGTGGTTTCGCTGCCTGCTGCGCAAGCGCAAGGACCCCAGTTCAATCCCTGGTACCCCCCCCCCAAAAAAAAAACCCATTGAGGGCTGGGGATTTAGCTCAGTGGTTCTGCCCCCTGCCTTGAAAGCGCAAGGACCTGAGTTCGATCCCCTGGTACCAAAAAAAAAAAAAAAACCCATTGTAAGCTAAGAGTGATGGCACATATCTATAGTCTTAGCACATTAGGAGACTGAAGCAGGAAGGTGGCAGTTCCACCCTAATCTGGACAATTTAGTGGCTTAGCTCAATCTGTCTCAAAATAAATAAAGGACTATTGTAACCCCCTGCAGAGGCCTTGGGCTTCATCCTTACTACAGCTAAAACAAAGCAAACCATTGTGTTTTAATGTTAATGTGTTTATATATCCATGCATATATATTACAGATGATAAAGTCAGCTTGTTTCTATGCAGTGAATCTACCAGCTAAGTTAGCTGTGTAACAGTATTTTTTGAATTCAGTAGATTAGATCTTAATTCAAAGGGAAGAACTCTTTCATTGTTGTCCATTGACTTGATCTGTTCATTGGCTTCTCACAGGAGACTCCTGTGCTCACCAGGATAGAAAAACAGAAGCGCAAGGAAGAGGAGGAAGAACGACAGATTCTCCTTGCTGTGCAGAAGAAGGAACAGGAACAGATGCTCAAAGAGGAGAGGAAACGGGAGTTGGAGGAAAAGGTCAAGGCAGTAGAAGGTGTGTGCGCCTTCTGCCCAGGCCAGAGATGCTCATGTTTGGGAATGGCTGTCTGCAGCCACCACTGGAACAAGCGGGGGACCATTCTTTGTTTCATCTCTTTCTGGCTATTTCTTTTTAGTTAGTTGTCAGTTGTATTGTCATATTTACTTATCTCAATCCAATCTCACTTTTGTTTCTGATAAAGCACTTATATTTGTCATTCTTTGTATGTCTTTCATTATCTTGCCTATTGTTTAGATCTCTGCCTTGTCCCACGTAGAATAGAAAAAAAATGAGTGATGAGAACTGATTTCACAGGGTTTGTTCGTCTGTTCTTTTTTTATTTTTTGGTTGGTTGGTCAGGGTTTGGGTTTTTTGTTTTGCTTTTTGAGATGAGGTTATAACATGTAATCTAGGCCAAACTTGAACTCCCTGTGTAGCCCACACTGGCCTCCCAACTCACAATCCTCCAGCCTCAGCCTCCCAAGTGCTAGACTTATAGGCATGTGCTTGCCATACCTAGATACAGATAACTTTATCACAAATGAGATATGCATAAAAGATATCTCCGATTTTTATTTAGATTAGCTATTAGTTCTAAAATACTACTATTAGGACAAAGTTATTTTTTCAAGTATAGGTCTAGTTCTTGGTCTTGGTAAGATTTTTCTTTCATTTATAATTCTATAATGCCAAGGATAACAAATATTTTCTTGGATAGCGGTTGTATTTATAAGCTGGCCCTGATAAATTATGTGATAACAAATCATTTGGCATGGCTAGATGTAGACCAAAGTTTATTTTCTTTTCCCTCCCTCTCTTCCTCCCTCACTCTTTGTGGTTGTGGGTTTGGTTGTTTGGTTTTGCTATGTAGTCCAGCCCAGCCTCAAACTTAACAATCTTCCTGCCTTAGCCTCCCACATATTGCTTTCTTTTAAAGAAATGGATGGTGGGCCGGGGATTTAGCTCAGTGGTTCCCCTGCCTGCCTTGAAAGCACAAAGACCTGAGTTCGATCCCTGGTACCAAAAAAGAAAAAAAAGAAATGGATGGAAACCTGGCATGGTGGCACCCACCTTTAATCCCAGCACTCAGGTGGCTGAGGCGGGAAGATTGAAAATTTGAGGCTAGCCTGGGCTACAGAGCAAGACTGTGTCTCTGAATAAATGGATTAATTCCTAGAACTCTTAATTTTTTAATAAAACAGTATAATACATGGTTCGACTTTCTCAGTACAGTGTTCAGTGTAAAACTTAGGTAAATTTTGGCTATGAAAATTAAAAGATTATGATCTTATATAGTACTTTTTCCCCCCCTCCTTTTTTTTTTTTTTTAAACTGGGGATCAAACTCAGGACCTTGTGCTTGCCAGGCAGGCGCGATAACCACTAAGCTACATCCCCACCCCAACACACACACACGCACGCACACACGCACACACACACCCCCATTCTTAAGTATTACTTTCAGGGCTAGGGATTTAGCTCAGTGGTGCCTGTCTTGAAAGCACAAGGTCCTGAGTTCAATCCCCAGTACCAAAATAATAATAATAATAAGTATTACTTTCTATATCTTACTGGGTTAACCCAGTTCCTGCCTAACTCATTTCTTACATTCATTGCCTATAAGCTACAAATTTAGCTTGTATCACATTGTGTAATTTATCTTACTTGTAAGGTCTTAGATGTGTTTTGTTTCTGGTGTTAGATTTAAACACCCCACCCCACCCCCATAATAACTGTGGCTTTTATTTCTTCATATTTTACAGTGGGTTATTTGGTATGCCATCATTGTTGTAATTTATATAGACAGGTCCAAAACTTTATTTGCAGACTTAGTTTCTCTGCCTGTAAGAGTAATAATGCCTGTTATAGGATTGGTTTCTACAGATATTTTTTGAGCACCTGTTTTGTGCCAGCACTGTTCTAGGTAAATGTAGTAAACAAGATAAACTTAGTCCTTTTGTGGAGTTTCCATTCTAGTGGTGGGAAGATGGGGAATAAATAGATACAGTGCTGTGGAATTCTAGATACTGGTGATATCTAAAAGAAAAAAGCCAGACCCATGGGTAGAGTGACATGGCTAAAGTAACATTTACATAGGACTGTCAAGAGGTAACATTTGAATGAAATGAGCAGGTTGCCCTGTGCCTGTGTGAGGGTCGGCGCATCGTGGGCAGCGGGAGGACAAGCAAATGCACAGGCTTAGCCACAACTTGCCTCCTGCAGATCGCGCCAAGAGGAGAAAGCTCAGGGAAGAACGGGCATGGCTGCTGGCCCAAGGCAAGGAGCTGCCTCCAGAGCTCTCCCACCTGGACCCCAGCTCTCCCAGTCGGGAAGGCAAGAAGACAAAGGACCTGTGAGTATTCAATACCAGCAGCAACAAGAGCAGCTGGCCCTCTGCTGATAAACACCTCCCTCATTTAATCTTTGTAACAGCCCTGTGTGCTCAGCAATGGCATCGCAGTTTCCAACTTGAGAAAACTTGGGAACAGGGCGAGCCTGAAACCACTAACCCTAACCTGACCCCAGTGCTCTTTAAATTAACATCCACACCCAGACCCACCTCTGCTCCCTGCCCCTTTCTTTCCTTGCTATCATGTAGAAGCACAGTGACTTTTTTTTTAGCACAGTGATATTTTTGCACAGCATTCTTTTTGTCCTCTAAGTCTTAAATTGAATGAAATCAGATTCAGTGATTATATAAATTTTTTTCTTGGAATTTGCAGAAACTTACTTTTTCAATCATTACTTCCCTTTGAAATTAGTAGGTACCATTTGTGTCTTTATTGCTAACTAGTCATTTAGAAACAAATGAGTAAATGTTCAGTGCTAATGAGTTTATTCTGCCACATGCTTTTGTGGGTTTTATATTGGTTTGGTTTTTAAGACAGGTTCTCACTGTAGAGCCCAAACTGATTTCAAGCTTTAGATCCACCTGCAAGTGGTACTGAGATTACAAGTGTGCACCACCATACTTGGCATTATTCTTTAGATCACAAAAATATTCATAAGCCTAGAATAAAACCAGATTAAGAATGTGTTCTTTATGGGCTGGGGATTTAGCTCAGTGGCACCGCGCCTGCCTTGCAAGTGCACAGTCCTGAGTTCTATCTCCGGTACCACGAAAAAAAAAATTATGTGCTCTTAGGGCTGAGATTTAGTTCAGTGGCACCATGCTTTGTCGCAAGCACAAGGTCCTGAGTTCCGTCCCTGGTACCAAAAAAAAAAGAATGTGCTCTGAAATAAATAAATAATAGAATCATAAAGTTCTGATCATTTAGACCAACTCCATTGTTTTATAAAGACAGTGGTATTCCTTTTTATATTAAGGCATACTATCCCTAATCTTTGTATCCTTTTCAGAGAATGTTAGCAGAGTTGACAGGGTTATCTGAACAGAATTACTAAGACTGTTCCAAATCTTAATCAGTTTGTTTCTAATTGAACTAATAGCTAAGTTAAGAAAGTGGTCAGAGTTATTACTAATGTCTTATTTTATGATTCACAGCTTTGAGTTGGATGATGATTTTACTGCCATGTATAAAGGTTAGTTACCATTGTCACCTATTGTGTTTCTGATGGAAACATTGCTATGTGACTTTATTAATTAAGTTCTCTTTTTTGGATCTAGTTCTAGATGTGGTAAAGGCTCATAAGGATTCCTGGCCCTTTTTGGAACCTGTGGATGAATCTTATGCCCCTAATTATTATCAGATTATTAAGGTATCTTCAGAAGTATACATTTGCATCTGTGTATTGGGTTTTGGGTTTCATGTTGTTTATCTGTTATTTCTCAGAGTCAGGTCTTCCAGGTGTACATTTGGCTCCTGAGCATCTCATGATGTCAAGATTACGTTGCCTCTTAGGGACTATGAGATGTTTGGTTTGGGGGGGTTATTCTAGCATGTTTTAATTAGTTATGTGTCCTATTTTAGATCCCCATGGATATTTCAAGCATGGAGAAAAAATTGAATGGAGGTTTATACTGTACCAAGGAGGAATTTGTAAATGACATGAAGACTATGTTCAGGAATTGTCGAAAATACAATGGGGAAAGTAGTGGTAAGTGGGAGGAAGTTCGTGCTAGATGTATGTCTGTGCATTAGTATATTCAAAATAAAATGCCTTTCATGACAAATGTATATTATCAAACTGTGTGCTAAAAGCTGTGGGATTAGTGGTTCCACAGTCTTAGCCAGGAGTTCTTTTCTATGCCAGAGGACAAGAGAATACAGCAGGAAGGAAGCTAACTGGGTGGTTTCTCATCCTACAGACCAGGTTGGGTCTGAGTTGTCCCTGGCCTCCTCAGCACAGATAGGACTGAAGCTAGATGAGCTCACTCCCCACCCTCCCTCTCTTGCAGCTCTGGAATTGAACCCTGGTATGCTAACAAATGCTGTGCCACTGAGCCACACTCCCAGCCTGTCATTCTTAAATCATTTTAAGAAGTCAACATTGAGGGACCGGGGATTTAGCTCAGTGGTTTCGCCGCCTGCTGCTCAAGCACAAGGACCCGAGTTCAATCCCTGGTACCAAAAAAGAAGTCAGCGTTGAAGCTCTGTAATATCAAACTATAAATGATCTCAGGTCCTGAAACTTGGTGCTCTTTTATACATTAATTCAAATATCTTACAGATTCAATGATGGTATTTAATAATTTTAGTATTTTAGCCTTAAATAACTATATGTTTACTGATTTGAGGCAGCAGTCCTGGAGTCACTGTCCACTGTCTCAGCCACACAACCTCATGTTTCCGTGGACAGAAACCGTGTCTTTATCGTTGAAGCACAGCTCTACAAACTCATACACCTGAGTGGTGATTAAACGTGGAGCATACCCCAGGTGTATTTAAACTATACTTACAGGTCAATCCATTTGTTTTTCTTTTAGAGTATACCAAGATGTCTGATAATTTAGAGAGGTGTTTCCATCGAGCAATGATGAAACACTTTCCTGGCGAAGACGGGGATACAGATGAAGAATTTTGGATTCGAGAGGATGAAAAGCGGGAGAAAAGACGGAGTAGGGCTGGGCGGAGTAGTGGGAGCCATGTGTGGACTCGCTCTAGGGACTCTGAAGGGCCCAACAGGAAACAGCCAGTGGAAAATGGAGGCAAATCATTGCCCCCTGCACGCCAAGCTTCCTCCTCTCGGGATGATCAGAGCAGCAGTTCTGCACAGGCCTCTCGGGATGCAGGCACTTCCAATGGCCGAGGCTTTTCCCACCCCCTGCATTGTGGTGGGATGCCCAGCCAGGCCCCCCTTTTAAACCAGATGGTAAGGAGGTGATCTCCCACCTGGTGAAATCACAAGTGAGGAAGGGCTATTGAGTTGGTACTTCCAAAATAATTGTATGGGTGATTTCTTTTTCTTCGTTCATTCTCCCCTTATTTCAGATCTTCCTTTCTCTTAATCATTTGAATCATGCATTCTCAGTGTGGCTAAAGTTGGGATTAAATAAAGACTGGGTGTAGGAAGGTGCACATATGGGGTCCTAGCTACTGGGGAGGCTATGGCAGGAGGACACTTGATCTGAGCCCAGGAGTTCGGGGCCTCCCTGGGCAACATAGCAAGACCTCAAAAAAAACCAAATTTGTTCTTTTCATGTGTAAAGCACAGAAATACAGTACATAAACTACATATATGTGAGGTATTAAGTTTCGATAGTAGGTTGCCATCCAGGACACAGTGACTAAAAGGGCTATATGCCAGGGGTAGGTGGCTTAAAGAAAACAAAAGATGAGGAAACACTTTCAATCTTAACCTCTCCTGGTCAGAGAAACTACTACAGAATCAGGACTGGCCCAGCCCAGGTGGTGCATGTGCTAGTAGTCCTTAGGGAAGCCTTTTTTTTAAAAATAAATTTCATTTTATTTTATCCCATTCCTCCCTATAGGGGAGTTCTCTCGAGTTCCCTCTCCTCCCTAGAGGGAAACCCGTATTATCCACCTGATGTCAATCTGTCTTCTCTTTCCTGCCTACTTGCTCCAGAAGCCAGCAGTACCAGGAACATTTGGCCCCCTTCAAGGATCAGATCCCACCCACTTGTATGGCTCCTCTCAAGTCCCAGAAGCACACCCAGGAGAGCCCATGCAGCACCAGCCCCTCTCCATGCAGGTAAGCATCCAGTGCAGAAGAGGAGATGGCCAAGACCTCTCAGGCACAGTTCAGGGATAGTTTTCCAAATCACTAAAGCACATTATAAAGATCTGCCTTGCCGTGTGAGCCTGAATAACTCTGATCTCTCGCCTTTTCTGTTACCAGCCTGCAGTTGGAATTGGGAGCCATGGAGGAACTCAGCTAAGTGCTCCTGAAGAAAAGCTAATGTGTGGGGGACTGACACACCTTTCTAACATGAGATCCCACCCTGCCTCCTTGCAGCTTGGGCAGATGAGTGGTCCTAGTCAGGATGGAAACCTGTATGGTCCAGCTCCATTCCAGCCAGGGTTTATTCCTCCCAGGCATGGTGGGGCTCCAGCTCGACCCCCAGATTTTGCTGAGACCCCAGAAGTTCATCCAAGCCACATATACCAGTCATACAAGTACCTGAATCGAGGACACTGTGTCGTCTGGAATGGGAACCATGGTGTTACCAACCCAGGACCCTTGGGGCCAGATGAGAAGCACTCCCTGGGGCCAGGACCCTCTCACCAGCCTCGGAACCTTGGTCACATGATGGATTCCCGAGTGATGAGACCACCTGTCCCTTCAACCCAGTGGCCTAAACAATCAAGCTTTCTACCTCATGGAGTTCCTTCTTCAGGGTATATACGACCACCCTGTAAGTCTGCTGGACATCGGTTGCAGCCACCTCCAACCCCAGCAGCAAGTTCTCTATTTGGAGGACCTTCCCCCACCCTACGGGGGGTGCACGGAGGGGACTCCATGATGGACAGTCCCGAGATGATCGCCATGCAGCAGCTGTCCTCCCGTGTCTGCCCACCAGGTGTGCCTTACCACCCCCAGCAGTCCACTGCCCCCCAGTTCCCTGGTCCTTTTCCACAGGTGGCTCACTCAGCATCAGTAAGTGTGTCAGTCCCCAAACCTGCCTCAGGCAACCCTAGGAGGACACAGGGTACCAGTGAGATGCAAGAGCCTGAGAATGACCAAGGTAATTTTTTACCTGACTTTCGGCTGTATCAGCTGTTAATTCGTTAGTAACCGTTTCACACAGAATGTGAAACCAAATTAAACTGATTCCCAGCCTTTCTCTCCTGAGCAACTCAGGTTTGAGCCAGGATCAACTCCTTTTAGTCTAAAAATCTCAGCATCGCCTGGCATGGTGGTGCACATCTGCAGTCCCAGCACTTGGGAGGCTGCAGCAGGAGGATCAACACAAGTTTGAGACCAGTCTGGGCTACGTAGTGAGTTCAAGGTCAGCCTGAGCTGCAGAGCAGGACCTTGTCTCCAAAAGAAATTAAATTTTAAACAGTAAAAATCTCGGCATCATAATAATGATTGTTACACTGATTGGTGCTTACTGTGTGAGGAGATCTTTCTGAGACTTTTATAAAACTTGCTTATTTCTCAGAACAAGTTTTTGTGGTAGCTACTATTAATATATTTGTTTTTACACATGGAAAATTGGAGGCATAGAGATACTAGCTTGTTTGCTCACATTCAGGTAGTACATGGTGGAGCTGAGTTTTGAGCCCAGACTACATCAGCATCCATGTCCTTAACCACCGCATCCGTACACTGCCTATGAAATTGACCAAAGCTGTTACTGCAGAATTAGATCTCGGTCTCTGTTTCCTCCCATTCCTCGACTGTATGCCTGTGTCTACTAAGAATGATGAATAGCAAAATCTAACAAAGCTTGAAGCTGTTTCTTAGAAATACCATGTAAGGAGAGTAAAGATTAAACTGAGAAAGAAATACGAAAAGATTTTTGTGTAATAGGTACTCCTAGGGTAGATGTCTGGTATATATATACTGTATGTAATTTTCTTCAGTATGTGGCTAGAAAATAGACACTTGTACTATCACAAAAGGTGATAAAGATCCCATGTGAAATTGACTTCTAATGTTTCCTTTTTGGGGGGGTGATTTCCTGGGGATCAAACTCAGGACCTTGCGCTTGCGAGGCAGGCTGCAGAACCACTGAGATAAATTTCCAGCCCTAGTGTTTCCTTTTGAAAAGGCCTTGGTACACACTGGCTCCACCAGAGTTCTCTAATAATGATTTCAAGTGGCATCTGCAGTTCAGCAATTTAGGTCACTCTCATTCATGACACTTAAAGTCTGCTTGCTGGTTACCAAGTTTTATGTTGACTGAATAATGAAAAAGGATCTTTTTCCTTTTTATTGTACCATTTGTACCTTTGATCATTAAGGCCAGCTTTAATGTACAGATAGTCTAAGAGATCTGAGCTTTTTTTTAATTTGTTTGTTTGTTTCTGGTACTGGGAATTGAACTCAGGACCTTGCGCTTGATCTTAGTTCTTTAAAAGTCTTTATGAATCGTAATTTTGTCCTCAAGTTCTATTACCAGAATAAAATTTTGATCACACTTTTGAAGAACTTTGTCCTTAAGTCATACATACATATCATATTACTGTTGTCTTGTTTAAGACCATATTAATGGGTCAATGCCATAGTGAGGTAAATGATCTAAGGCATTCAAAGGTTTGAGACTAGTAAATTAATTTGATTGAGTTTATTAAATTTCCATAATACACTAAAGAAGGCTTTGGTGGGGTTTATTTGCTGTAGACATCTTGTCTCAAGCTTTCGAAACAAGGGCTAGGGAGGTAGCTCAGTGGTAGAACATATGCTTAGCATGCATAAGGCCCTGGGTTCTATCTCCTGCACTTTTTTTTTACAAAAGACTTTTAAAAAGTTTATTCATTCAGCAAATCTTGACTGAGCCCGTATTTTGGCAAGTACTGAGAATACTGTGAGAAAACACTCCATGTTTCCATGCAATTCCTGTGTTGAAGGGCAAAAGTCAGGCATCTGGCCTTCCTGAGTGCCTGTTCTGCCCAGTCCTGCCACATTTCACATGTATGTACTGGCATCCATGAGCTGGGAATTACATCTTGGCCTCTTACTAATCTGACTGACTGTATAGGAGCAAGGCCAGGCTACTTCTGTCTTTGCCAAGTCTTAATAAGCAGCCATTCAGGTGCTTGGTTCTGCCTCAAGGTCTGCAAAAGGGAAATGAGGAGGCCCCTAGCTAGCATCATGACTTCTTTCAAGGACTCTTAGCACATCTAGCTTGAATCACCACATGTTACCTCAGCCGTGGCGCTCATTTAACTGCTTATTACATTCTTTCTGTCACCATGACTGTTAAGATTGTCATTTCAGCTACTGAATTACTTTTGTTTTGTTTTTGTGTTTTCCTCCCCAGCAGAGCCCTTGCCTGGGCTTGAAGAGAAACCACCCAGCATTGGTGCTTCAGAGGGGGTATACCTCAAACAACTACCTCACCCCACACCTCCCCTGCAGTCTGACTGCCCCAGGCAGAGCTCCCCACGAGAAAGGGAAACAGAGGGCCCAGAGCTCAAAAGTGATCCCTCAGAATCTTCAGACCACTGTAAAACAGGACAGGGCAAGACCACCTGGCCCTCAGGCAGCAGCTGCCCGAGCCCAGCTTCCCAAGGCTGTATGAGGGACCTCTCCACGGCAGCAGGCAGAGGGGCTCTGCCTGAAAATGGAGTCATTGGTGAAGCATCCCCCTGTGGGTCAGAGGGAAAGGGCCTTGGTGGCAGTGGCTCAGAAAAGCCAATCTGCCCCAGAGGCAACATACTGCAGGAGACCATTCCATGTACAGGACAGAATGCAGCTACACCCCCGTGTGCAGACCCCAGCTTAATGGCAGGCACTGTAAGCCAGTTTTCCCCCTTGTACATGCCTGGCCTGGAGTACTCGAATTCAGCTGCACATTACCATATCAATCCAGGCCTGCAAGGGTTGGGCCCTGTGATGGGAGGAAAGTCAGCAATGTCACATCCTCAGCATTTTTCCCCCCGGAGCTTTCAGTCTACCAGTCCACATCCTGGAGTCTTTCCCCGGTACCGGCCTCCCCAAGGAATGAGGTACTCCTACCAACCATCCCCTCAGCCTTCCTATCCTCACTACCAGCGAACTCCTTACTACACATGTCCGCAGGGCTTTTCTGACTGGCAGCGGCCTCTCCATCCCCAGGGAAGTGCAGGTGGGCCCCCAGCAGGTCACCCTCCACCCCAGCGGTCCCTCTTCTCAGATAGAAATGCCATGGCTGATCTGCAAGGCTGTGAGACTCTGAGTGCCTCCTTAACCTCCCCACCTCGAACGCATGAAGTGGCTGCTAAAGTGGTCCCAACAGATGGGCAAAATCCTGGTCCAGAGGAAGAAAAGCTGGAAGAATCTGTGGAGAGGCCAGAGAGTCCCAAAGAATTTTTAGACCTGGATAACCACAATGCAGCTACAAAGCGACAGAGTTCATTGTCAGCCAGTGAATATCTTTATGGAACGCCTCCACCACCTCTGAGTTCAGGGATGAGCTTTGGTTCACCCGCTTTCCCTCCCCATGGTGTCATGCTACAAACGGGGCCTCCGTATACACCTCAGCGACCTGCCAGTCATTTTCAGTCCCGGCCGTACTCCTCCCCAGTGGCTGCCCACCCACCTCACCACCCAGCAGCCACCCAAGCCAATGGCCTCTCCCAGGAGGGCCCCCTCTATCGCTGCCAGGAAGAGGGCCTGGGGCACTTTCAAGCTGTGATGATGGAGCAGATTGGCACTGGAAGCGGAATAAGGGGGCCTTTCCAGGAAATGTACAGACCATCAGGGTAAGATTACATTCAATTGTTTTTGTTTTGTCTAAAAAAAAATAACATACCGTGTAGTTCAGGGCTGGCCTTGAACTCACTATTTAGCTCTGGCTGGCCTCAAACTGGTGATCCTCCTGCCTCGGCTTCCTGAATTTTGGGATTATAGGCTACTGCCACCACCCCTGGGTAACATGTTAATTTTAAAAATGAAAATAGCCTCAGGAATGAAGGTAAACTCAACACTTTAGGTCCACAAGAAGCATGTGAGTTGGTGATGGAGCCTTGGTAGAAGGCTTAGAGCCCAATTTTATCTTTGACATTTTATTTTTCCCCTGGTGAGAACGAATTTCCATTTAGTGCTTAATTATTTCCTCATGAATTTGCATTTAGTGCTTAATTGTTTCCTCCTGTGGTTCTGGGCATCAGATGGGGTCTCATCTACAGAGCTACAACCTCAGCCCTGATGTGGGATTTAAATGACTGGATTTTGACAATGGAAACTTGATAGCCACAATTTGGCTGCTAGGAGCAGAGGCTGTTAGGGTTTCTGCTGAGTCACACTGACACTGGCCAAGGTAAAGGTGGTCTAACCTAGGGAGTAGAAAATGTCATCCTAAAGTTTACTCTTCATCTCTTTTTGTTCCTGATCATTGAGTGAAAAAATTAGATCTGTCCAGAAATGAAGTAAAATACTTCTCCCATGTATAAGTTTGTAGCGATGTTTTGTTTTGTTTTGTTTTTGGTACTGGGGATCAAACTCAGGACCTTGCACTTGTGAGGCAGGCGCGGTGCCACTGAGCTAAACCCCCAGCCTTAGTACTGATGGGTTTTTTTTGTTGGGTTTTTTGTTGTTGTTGTTGTTTTTGGTACCGGGGATCGAACTTGGGTCCTTGCACTTGCGCAGCAGGTGGCGAAGTGCTGATCTTTTTAAGAATCAGGGCAGGCTGGGTCCTGCAATGCTTCCCCAAGATGCACAAGGTTTTTATTTCCCCCGCACTCCTCTTCTGCAAAAAAAAAAAAAGGTGGGGGGTGCACAGCGAAATGATCTGCTGTCCAGGAAGATTTCAAATTAATAATGTATAGGCCAGGGATTTAGCTCAGTGGTTCTGCCACCTGCCTCACAAACACAAGGTCCCGAGTTTGATCCCCGGTACCAAAAAAAAAAAAAAATCAAATTAATAATGTATAAAAGATGTTCAGCCAGCTGCAATACCATCCCTATAATCCTAGGTACACTCAGAAGGCTGAAGCAGAAGGGTCACAAATTTGAGGCCAGTCTGGGCACTTTAGTGAGACCTTGTTTCAAAAGAGTTTCAAAAGAAAATAAACTATTATGGGGGTGCAGTGGTAGGGCAAGGCCCTGGGTTCTATTCCCAGCGTGAAACACACACACATATGAAGTGAAGCTTCACATATGTCAGTGAAGCTTAACCAGTAAACCAACACCCTTCAATTTTACATCCTGTATCCCCCCCACCCCCACCGCCGCCCCTGCCTTTCCATCTTCTCACCCTTAGGCTGTCTTCCCCCATCTAAAGTCCTGTCATATTTGCAGTGCCCTAGATTCTAGATTTGTCTGTTTCCTCATGCTTTGGTGCTTCCTATTCTGTCACACCAGGAGCCGCGTGTTGCCCCAGTACTTAGGATTCCAGGTTAGATCACCTGGATAATGACAAGCAGGGTCTTCATGACTAAAATGTTTTCTTGTGTAACTAATATGTTTTCACTAATTGTTAACTATTCCTTTCTTATGGCTGTAGGATGCACATGCATCCGATCCAGTCTCTGCCCTCATTCCCAAAGACCCCAGCACCAGCAGCATCACCAGAACAGCTACCACCACATAAACCCCCAACACTTCCTCTGGATCAGGTAAGGATTACCAAAAATTAGAGGTTTTCTTACTCCTCCAGGTGTAAGATGTAAATATAGGGTGAGTATTAATTCTCTAAAGCTTGGGACTCCCAAGTGTTTCAGATTTCAGAAATTTTCGGATTTCGGAATATTCTGGATAGACTTTGCCCAATCTGCATGCCTAATCTGGAAACACTCCAAATTCTGAACCTTTTTGAGTGTTGTGTCAACAACAATAACAACAAAAACCGTTTTGAATCTTGGAGCAGTTGAGATTAGGACTCAACTTGCCCAGGACCACCTTGCTATGCTTATTATTGTAGTCCTGGGGATTGAACCTAGGATTGTGCATTTGAGGGAAGGGCTCTACCACTGAGATTTACCCCTATTCTCTGAGAGGATCTTTTAAGGTATTGTGTTAATACAGGAACTTTTCCTAAAAGTGCTTCATGTACTGCAGCCACCCAGATGAAACCAGTCTCTGAGACCCTGTAGTTGTCTTCCACACTGGGAGTGCCCACGGCAGAGGCGTCAGTTGGAGCTTCTCTAGTGTTTTCTACAGGGCCCTTTTTTCTATTTTTTGCATGGTAACCTGTTGTTCCAGGAGTGTTTAAGCTCATTTTTTCCAAACTGCCTGCCCACCTTTCTTTTGCCACAGTCCTGGTTTCTCTTATCCTTCTCACCTATTCATTTGAGAGACAAGTCAGTCAGGTTTGGAATCATAGTAGCTACCTTTGAGAGCTGCTGCTCTGCCAGGTGCTGTGCTGAGAGTTGCTGGATGCAGGGACTCATTCAGTCCTTCCCCTGACCCTGTGAAGCACTGCAAACAGTGGCAACATTTCCTAATAAGTGCTACACCTGCTAAGTGTTGAGGCGCAGTGGTGGTTAGCCTATGGCATGTGTGTTGTTTTTCTTAGTATTTGAGTTTTTTCTAAACTAAAAACCTCAGTATTCAAGTTTAATTACAGTGTTAGCACTTTGTGATAAATGGGTTTTGGGTTGCACTTTGGGCACTCAACTCTAAAAAAAGTTCCCCATCACTGGGCTAGGGTCTGATTCTGGGATCCAGGTCCCGCAGATCTCCCCTCTGGGAATAAACTGTGTGTAGGTGCACTTGTGCAGCTCTTTGACTTACTTAATTTTTGTACTGGGATAGCACCCAGGGCTTCATACATGCTAGGGCAAGCACTTATCACTGAGCTGCATCCCTAGCTCCCTTTGACACATTTTTAATTTTTTATAACAAAAAAAATCTTTATGTTTTCCTCAGAGCTAGTTCAAGGAAGAAATAACCCCCAAGGGAATGGAAAGCTGCATATGAAGAAGACAGCACATGGAGGATTTGGGGATGACCTTGCCCAACTCCATTCCTGTCACCCTGCTCCACCCCTTCACATGAATTATACCCTGCCACCAGGAGCTGAAGCCACTCCCGGCCTTTGAAGCACACTCCACAGATGACAGACTTGCAGCTGTCCCAGGCCAGTGGACTGCTTGCATGGCTAACACAGTTGGGAAGAACAAATGGACCTATAGTCCATGCTGACTTCTCCAAATCCAGGGACTTGTTCAGGGAAATCGCTTTGTACTTGAGAGGGGGCCTAGTAGGAATGGAGTGGTGCTTTTAACTTCTCATGAGCAGCTAATCTCAGGTATTTCTTTGGGGAAGGGACTACTTGTAGTATTAATGTTTTTGGAGCTGGGTCCAGTTTACAGAATTTTCATGTTGCCTTTTAAAATAATTTTTGTTGGTGGTGAATGTATTGTACATAAAATGGGGAGGGTGGGTGGGGATGTGGAAGAAATGGGAGTCCCAACTGTAGTGGGCACACAGCACTGGAGTGGTCTCTCTCTGTCTGTTTACAATCATGTCACAATGAACGCTTTGGGGAGCTGGAGAAGAGGGGAGGCAAAGTCTCATCTTGTCATCTGCCACTAACCGTTTGCTAAGTGGCTGGCCAGCCTTTTAACAGCTGAAGGACTTCCTTCCAGTTGGCCTCAAAGTACAGCTCAGTTATCACCCTCCCCGTCCATCTGTCAGTTTGAGGCAGAGTACTCTCATGTGCCCCACTGGCGCTTTGCCCCAGAAGACAGGCTGCTCTCACTCTGGTGACCCAAGTCCTGGGCTTGGGAAAGCAGTGTCCCTTCCTGATTTTGCCACCAGCTTCACCAGATACCTGCAAACCGGTATCAGGAATTGGGATCATTTTAGAGTGTTTCACTCATTAGAAGATAAAATCATCCTCTTCACAGGCCTGTTAGGACTGTGATCTAGAAGGCATCACACACAGCTTTCTGGCACAAATCACATTTTGTGAAAGTGACTACTCAGGTTTGTATATGTTAGTTTCAATAAAGAAATTGCACAGGTTTAAATAGGGAAAATGTATTCTATAGTTCACAGTTTGAATTTAGGAATATTTCAGTATCTATAGTTGTTACTCAGTTTAAGTGAATCATAGTAAAATCAATCGTGGTGATTTAAAATAGCTGTCAAGGACAGATTCTTGGAAATCATTTGTTGTATCAGTCATAGGAAACAATTTTACAGTATTAAATTACTTTAGTACAATTTTAGAAATGAATTACACTGGATTCCCTCTGTTTACCATTCTCTTGTTTCATCAGATATGTCACCAAAGTTAGGACCTACGTTTAAACTTTTGAACATGCCACAAAAAAAAAGCTAAGAACATCCTAAAGTTACAGGTCTTTGTAAAGAATAGCATATTTTAAAACATGCTTTTGTGATATTAGAAAATTCTTCATAAAATGTTAATCTGTCTTAATTTTTTAAAATTTAACTGCAAGAGAATTCAGTGGTACCCTTTACTTCCATTTCTCTTATCCTCTGGTTGACAGTCTGCTACACTTGTGTGATCAGAGGGAAGGGAAATAGAAACTTGCAGGTTATTTAGATGGAACCCAAGATTTCCACTCCAGTATAAAGGAAATTCATACCAGTTAGTGAATGCTTATTGTCCTGAGGGTGTTTCTTAAGAGCTTAAGCACTGTCAAGTTGAACAGAGATAAAAAAAATAGATGCCTTCAATATATGGTGCACAAAAATATGAATTTTTCTCCAATGGACTTTCAGTTTAAATTTAGTGTGTTTCCAAGTGGATTGAGCTGTCAGTCTGAATTTCAGTTCATCCTAAATCTTGTCAGACTAGCACTGGCACGGGCTGGTTTAGAAGAGTAAACAGAGATCAGAAGATTTGTGGGTGGATCTAATCTGTCCTTAGACACATAAGCTAACTTGGACAGAGCACGACCACTTCATTTTCTATGTTTGTGCAAAAAACGAGAAAGAACAAACAGCTGGTATGGGCTGCTTAGACCTTGTTTGGGTTCAGAGCAAGGAGCATTCTGCCACCAACAAATGAGAGGCCTTGACTTCTCATTAGGGACATAGTAACTGCAGGGCCTCTTCCTTCCATGTTGCTAAGCCTGGAGGGGTTGCCATATGCTTACTGCTGAGAGTCATGTCCTTCTCTGTCTTCCAGAGGATCCCCCCATTACTTGATGCTACAGAAATGCTATGAACAATGCTGGGGGTGGGCGGGGATCAGTAAATTCCTTTATCCCTAACCTCCCTTCTTGGTTTAGACTGATGAGAAAATATTAAGGAAGGGAAGAGCAATAGAAAGCTGAACTACTATGTTATAACACTGAACAAAAGCAATATAGCAAAATGGTCAGCCTTTTGCGTCATGGATGGAAATTTGATCAGACGGTTCATCTGTATCTAGTATAGACCCAGCTTCTATTGGTCTTCGAAGTGCAGATCTGCAAAGAGCTGCTTGGAGCTCCCAGACCACAGAAACACAGAGGACCTGAGCTGCTGTGAACCCCCTCATCCACTTACCCCTAAGCAGGATCTTCTGTTCTTACCTTTCTTCCTCCTCTAGCACTTCTCTTTCCAAGTGTCTTAAGCACATGCAATGTCTTAAACCAGATGCAAATGCATTTGCCATGCTCTCCATAGGGAAATGATGTTATGTAATATGTAATAATTAGAAAATAGTATGTAAGGGTGTGTCCTCACAAGGTTTGCTCTCAGGCTAGACAGACATATGATCTTGGAGATCGGTGTCACCTTGTCAAGTGTGCTGGCTCTCAGTGGTCCCCAGCAGGACATGGCTGAGATCCATGTACAATTGGAAATACTTCCACTCTGGGTTGACTTAACTTTATTAGATTTGTTAATAAATTAGAAACTCTTTTCAAGGCTTAAGAGAAATAAAAGATCCAGAAAAAAAGTAGAGCCTTTTGGAAGATTCCTGGTTTTATTTCTCTTCTGAATCTGTCCATTAAAAAAACAGGAGAGCTGGGGACATAGCTCAGTAGTAGAGCCCTAGCCTAGTACATGCAAGGCCAGGGGTTCAATGCCCAGTACCACCAAAAAATAATAAATTAGCAGAAGTTACTGGCTAAAATTTGTTGATAGACAAATGTGGAGACTAGATAAGGATAAAACATGCAGGATTCAGCCAAGTGTGGTGGCACATGTCTGCAATCCCAGCATTTTGGGAGGTTGGGTTAGGGGAATCATATGAGCCCAATCTGGGTGACTTAGCAATACCCTGTCTCAAGGAATGATCAGAGATGTAGCTCAGTGCAAAGGCCCAGGGTTCAATCTCTGTTACTGGGGGAGGGGGGCTTTTTGTTCATAAAAATTTGCATTTCCACCTCTTAGAAGTAAAATTGAAATTAAAACTTTTCCTTGTGTCCTGGGTCAGGTTAGGTTAGCTCTTCTGGTGGTGCCTGTGCACTCATTAACAGTACTTATGTTCCCATTCTGTTTCAACAACTCTCAGACTGTGAGTCCTGACATGCCTCATCTTCATGAGTGCTTAGAAGGCCTTCACTCCTGTAGTCTCATTCAGTTCAAAGCTTAGCTTTTGTATTGTTTTGTTTCTTTTTTTTTTTTTTTTTTTTTTTTTTTGTACCAGGGATCGAATGTTTCTTTAGACAGGGTCTCACTGTGCAGTTCAGGCAGGCCTTGAAATCTCTGGCCCTCTTTTTGCTTTTTTGAGACAGGGTCTTGCTGTGTAGTTCAGGTTGGTCTTAAACCCATTGCTGAAACTCAAGTGATTCTTGGGCCTCAGCTTCCTGAGTGTACCACCATGCCTGGCAAAATTTAGCTTTAAATGGCAGTTTACTCTAACCATCCCCTTAAAAGTGCTTCTCAGGACTAACCATTTGGTGGCTTTATTCCATGGCATCTATCTGTCATAGAATTATTGTTTGGTTAATTCCTGCTGTCATCACAGGGTATGCTGACTGCTATCTCAAACACATAAAATCCAATATTGCTTTCACAGCTGGGCGTGGTAGTCCCAGCACTTCGGAGGCTGATGCAGGAAGATATCTGTGAGTTTGAGGCCAGCCTGGGCTACATAGCAAACCCTATCTTAAAAAAACAAAATCAATGTTACCACAAACAGCCTTACAATTCATTCATTCTTTCAGTGCATTCCATGTGGTTGGACATATTTTTCCCCTCCCTCCTTTTTTTTGTACTAGGACTCCAACTCAGGACCTTGCACTTACCTGGCAGGTGTGGCGCCACTGAGCTGTATCCCCAGACCCTCCCTTCCTTTTTTAATTAAAGTTCAAATTTATAAATGCTATACAGTTCTTAAGAGCTAATTTGAAATTACCCAGGAAAGTTTTTAATCAAGAGTCTCAAGCAAAAACAGTTCTATAGTATCAGAATCCTGATAACATTTGTGAGAACCTTGATTTTTCCAATAAATAAAGACAAGGAGTTTTCTAGCATTATTTCCCCTTTCGTGTTTGTCTGTTGGTCATTTCAC